CCTTACTCACTTTCCAGCTTTCCCATGCATATGAGGAAAATACCATGGCTTAGATCAGGTATACTTTAATCCTCAAAGTGACATCTTTGTTCTTTAACACTTTAAAAGAGGTCTTTTGCAGCATATGTGCCCAGTGAAATACGTCATTTGATTTCTTGACTGCTGGTTGGGCAATCTACTTCCGTAGTGATGCTGCCTCGGCAACCCAAGGGGGGTCACTATGAATCGGGTCCAACTTGACAGCACATAACAGCACATCAATAGCACTTCCATGGGTGTTGATTATGGATCCAAGTAAAGTGAAATCCTTGACAACTTCATTCTTTTCTCCCTTTATCATGATGTTTATTCCTCCAGTTGTGAGGATTTTACTCTTCTTTATGTTGAGCTGTAATCCATAATAAAGGCTATAGTCTTTGATCTTTATCAGTAATTGCTTCTAGTTTCCATTTCTGCAAGCAAGCTTGTATCATCTGCATATCCAGGTTGTTAATGAGCCTTCCTGTTAATGAGTTCTGGTGCTGCATTCTTCTTCATAGAGTTCAGCTTCTCAGATTATCTGCTCAGCATACAAATTGATTTGGTATGGTGAAAAGATACAACGCTAATGCATTCTTTCCCTGATTTTAAACCGTTGAACTAACTACTTCTAATGGAATTCACCTCAGTAGATACAAGTGTGGGGGTCTTGTGTTACGGATGGAGGCTGACCTGTCTGGACCATTTGCCTGGGCCCTCTGGGGATGCCATGTTCAGAGAGCACTAGGTTGGGGAAACATCCCTGCTTAAAGGCCAACCGAAACCACTAAGGAGTCAGAGGCAGGTATGGGCCCCTGGCTGGTTAGACTCCTGGTTCCTCTCCCTCCAGGCTGCTGGGCAGGTTACTGAGCTCCATGCTTCTATTTCCTCCTCCCTGAAATGAGGTGAGAGTAAGTGCGTCTCACAGTTGTCATGAGGACTCCAGCCTGTGAACATGAGCTGGTTGTTGGACAGGGCATCTGCCCTTGGTTTGGCGACAGTGGTGGTTTAAGGCATATGATGAATCACAGTTAGAGAATCGAATTTTCTGTAGAAAGACTTCGTTTATCTTATGAACAGAAAAATCACTGTCCTTGGCTCTGGGGCCTGACTGGGCTTGGTGTGAAGGTGAGGTAGTAGGTCAGTGGCTGAGAATGTGCCAGTGGATTCTGTGCCCTTGGCTTTGCCACGTGCCCACATGGACAATTTGTGCAGCCCAGCCCAGCTGCTCTGAGGGGCCCGAAGAATACACTCACCTTGGCATCATTTTGCCTTGGAGTCTTCCAGAACATCATGAGTTAATGGAAAAACTTAAATGGGGCTACTTCCTCTTGGCTGGATGGTGCTTCTCCTCCCAGGTGGGGCTGGGGATGGGGTCAACTTGCACCTCCTGATTGGTTTATGCTCACCAGACATGTGTTCCCAAGCTTTTTTCTAAAATGTGTTGGAAACCAGCCCACACACAACTCTTGTCCCTTGCTGCCACCCTCCCTCTGGCTCACTCTTGACGCATCTACCTCCTCGCATGGCCAGGCCCCCTCCCGGTTATCCCCTTCTGTTCCTTGGACATATAGGTTCTGCCAGTACATTCCCTTCTCTGTGGTGCTACTCCGACAGAGAGACAGACAGACGTGTCTCTCCAGGCACTAAGCATGTTTTAGTCATCTCACTGGAGAGCTGGCACTTGATGTCGGTGTCAATTGTCTCTCCATTGCTATCTTCTTTGTACCCCAATCCCCAGCTTCTGTAGTTGCCCAGTTATCACCTTCACCCAGGTACCCTGGAGGGTGGGAAAGTGGACACCTCTCTTCCTGCTGCTCCCTTTCCTCTTGCTCCCTTCCTTCTGACAGGTGGGTTCCCACAGACACTTAGGCTCCAGCCTGCTGTTGGGTCTGGGTGGACTTCACCTTGCTCTCCTCTCCAAGGCCCTCCTGTGTTTTCACTTGTGCTCCTGTGCCCCCTCGATGTCCCACAGCCCCCTCTAGACTGTGCTTCCCAGCTCGTAGTGGGCACACCACCCTCAAGACTCTCACCTCATCCATGTCCTATTGGTTTATTGAGTGGTAATTACCCCCCCCCTCCCCCCCCCCCCCCCCCGCCAATTTTCTGTCTTACTTATTGTATATTTATTTTTAAAGGAAGTGCAGTCATGGGTTTAATGCCTTGAGAACAAAAGAACATGGCTAAATTCACATCACCTGCAAACGCTGCAGAGCACAGCCTTTTGACTGGCACCCAGCTGGGGCTTTCTGGTCAGTGCTGTAATGGGAATAGAAAGAAAAGGAAAGGGGGAAATTGCCCCAAGTGATGAAAGGCTATCCACTCGAGCTGGTCTGTGACCCCTTTGCCAGCTCTGTCCTTAGAAAACCATAGACTTGACTCTCCAAGAAAGTTGAGGGTGCCTTCAGCACTGAAGGTCTAAGCTTGGAGAACCCTCTTCTCTCCTCCTTGGTGATCACTGTGGGCATTGGTGTCTCAGCACACCTGACATCCCTCCTGCACCCCATGGTGTCCCTGCCCCATTGCCCTGCCTCAGTCCACACCACACTACTTATGTGGCAGGTAGTTCTGGCCAGATGTCTACCAGAAATGCCCCTGATGGGAGAGAGAGAAGTGCTTTGTGTCCTTGAACCTGGCACAGGCCTCCCCAGTCATAGATATCTATCCTAGAATCTCTTGTCATTACATTGACTGCAGGCTGGTTATACACTAATAGTGTCTTTTGATGCCCCATGTCCTGTATTTAGGCCTGATACCCCAGGTTTTCTCCTGGGGTGCCCTGCTTCCCAGTCTCAGTGTCTCTTCTGCATCTCAGCACCACCCTCACCCTCACTCTCTTCTGCGAAGATTTCCCCTGAGTCAGGTGCTGCAGGTGGAGGCAGCATCAGGGAGGCCGCCTACAGTTCCTCCTCTCTGTTCAAGTGTGAAGGACCTGGAGGGCACAGGCTGTGAATATCAGACTTGTGTCTCAGGAGGGGAGAGGGACAGCTTGTGTAGCAGTGGGTTCGAGACCCTTCCAGACATCTAACTGGTACCACTGAGAAGCCACCCTATTCTTGGTGCCTTGGGGTCTTCACATCATGTGGCACGAGCATGTTCCTTCCACAGCGTTAGTGCCTCCTGCTGGCTAAGTGATTGACTGGAGAATGACCTAGTGCTCTTTAAGTGCTTTGCATCCATCTCTGGATAGGCAGATGACATTCTTAAATCTTGCATCTGTTTGGTGGAAAGGAGGGGAAAGAATGTTGTTGTCAGCTGCTTTGGAGTCGGCCTTGACTTACGGAGTCCCCGTATGCAACAGAATGACACGCTGCAGGTCCCGCGCCACCCCCATGATTTGTTGCTAATGGGACCGTTGTGATCCACAGGGTTTTCACTGGCTAATTTTCTGAAGTAGATTGCCAGGCCTTTCTTCCTAGTCCATCTTTGCCCGGAAGCTCAGTTAAACCTGGTTGTGTTGCACTGTAAGGCATCACTTAGATTCTTTATCACTGTGGATTCACTCAGCCCCCACCCCTTCCTGAGATCCACGTTCTCTCCCACCTTCTATAACCAGGTAGTAGCTGCCCCTTCAGCAGTGAAGCACCATGGCAGGCACAGCTTTCCTGTGGTAGTGATACCTTCTTTGACTCCTTGCCAGACCTCATCTCATCCTCTATCCTTTGGGATTGGAGGCTGGGCTTCTGGGGTGAGGGCAACAAGGTCTGGCCCCTTGACTGCAGATGCCCCACTGAGGTTATTCTTTGCAAGTGGAAATTCATATTATGCCAGAATGCATTTACAGACACTTTTGTGGGACCCTTGATTTTGATTTTCCTTGGGCTGAGCTAGTGGGGGATCATGAAGTGCCTAGGGGAGTGCCTTGGCTGTGCTGGCTCTGAGCTGCCTCTTGAGGCACCTGGAGTCTGAGGGTGACTGGAGGAGGGTAATCTGCTGTTTCCCATGCTTGGGTGAGAGTGCGCTCCTGGGACCTAGGTCTGTGCTGCGCCTTAGTGGGTGCCTTCTAGGGTCAAACCATGTGAGCCAGCCTGATGAGACCTTCCTGCCCCTCCAAGGCCTGTACCCTGAAATTGCTCTCTCCCCACATCCTTCTCTGAATCCTTGGCCAGAATGGTTCTCGCCCACTGAACTCCTTGGTTTGTTCCTAAGGGTGCTCAGTCAGGGCAGGCAGCCCCAGCTTACTGTGCCAGTGTCAGCTGATCATGCCTTGTTCTTGCTGGTCGGACAGTAACACAGCCATGCTGAGTGGATGCTCCACTTACTATCACCTTAGTGGGCTCGCTCTGTCACTGAGAGTGGGCCATGTGGCAATAAAACACGTTCCCCCCTTTCTCCCTGCACCCTGGCAGGTACAGCGTTGACCAGGAGCAGGGTCTCTCCACAGTCGGGCTTTGACCAGCTGATTAATAAAGCAGTTTCCTTGTTAGGTTTTTACAAATAGCAAACATGCATGGTTGGTTTTGAACTGCCAAGAGAATGTTGGTCATTGGGATGCCCTCCAAACCCACAAAGCATCGGAGGTGGCTGGCTCAGCTGCCACCCGGCACTCTGCTCTCCATGCCTGACCCAGCCAGTGGTCATTGGTGGCTCTGTGGTCCAGACCCACAAATGCAAGCAAGAATCGTAACATTAGGGTACCTCTTACATACACAGGCAGCATCCCCAGCACTTGTAGGTGGGAGAATAGGGTGCAGTTTGTGATCCAGGGCTCCATGTTCCTCGTGCCTCATGGACTCCATAATGCCTGCAGCTATGTTCTTCACCATGTGGATGTGAACCTTCTGTGTTGGGTGACAAGGCTGAGTGGGTAGTAGGAAGCCCTTAGGAGGAAGGAAGTGGCTCCCACAGACCTGGGCAGTGACTGCCTAAAGCACAGTGGGGCTCACTCTGTCCCCAGCATATGATGGCTATGGTTTGGTGGGGCCATGAGGTGCTGCACCTGTGCCACCTGCTCTCATAGGGTCTTTTCTCCCCTACAGAGTGCCTGGTGGAGAATGTGATGGGATCGGTAGCATGTCGGCGGAGAGCGGCCCTGGGACGAGATTGAGGAATCTGCCCGTGATGGGGGATGGACTAGAAACTACCCAGATGTCCACGCCGCAGGCCCAGGCCCAGCCCCAGCCAGCCGCTGCAGCCAGCGCCAATCCCCCGCCCCCTGAGACCTCCAACCCCAACAAGCCCAAGAGGCAGACCAACCAGCTGCAATACCTGCTCAAAGTGGTGCTCAAGACACTATGGAGACACCAGTTCGCGTGGCCTTTCCAGCAGCCCGTGGACGCCGTCAAGCTCAACCTCCCTGTGAGTAGTGGGGGCAGGCCTCCTGTGTCCCTGCCAAAGAAGGCACCTATAGAGACAGGGTAGGGGGTTCGCAGGAAAGCCCAGCACCCCAGTGAATTGAAGTGAGGAACCATAACTGACTCCTCAGATACAAGAATACAAGACTAACTCTGTGGCTGTTGAAACAAGGGGGCAAAGGAACACTCAGAGATTGCCATCTGGTTGCATGGTAGGCTGGAGTCAGAGCCCTTGGGAGCCCTGGCCCCATCCTCCTCAGGCACAGCCAGACAGATGCTGCCAAGTACTTCCATCTCATAGGCACTCCTCTCCTCTCCCTTAATCAAGAGTTTTCCATTTACCTCCATCCCAACAGGTAGTTCTGGAAGCACAACTTGTATCTCCAGCTGAACCCCAGGGAGCAGACAGGATAAATGCTTTCATTTTCTTCCTTCCTTGAGAAATTGCCCTAACCTTGTCCTCTGCTGTTCACCAGGCCCCATACGGCCCCCTCGGCATTCTAAAAGTAGGGCAGGGGAATAGGCATACAGTGGTTGTTGCCCTTGGTCAGAGCTGGAGCTGAGGGGGCCATGAGGGCATGTATGGATGTCTGCCCCATGGGCCCCCTGTGTCTGTGACACCCGTCCAGGAGCCAGCCACCGCAGGCTGGTTGGCAAGGTGGGGAGGTCATCCAGAGCAAGTGTAATGAGTGGGAGAAAAAAAGCTGGAGGAGAGGACTTTGGGGGGTTCATGATCCCCATAGCCAGGTTTTAGCCTCAAAGGCTACAGGGGGTAGGCCTGACTGGACTGTTGGCCATTAGGAGATATTGTTGGCCTTAGGAAGACCTTAGGGGATAACAGTAGAAACCTGATTGCCCTGGTGTATCTAACAGAAGGTAAAGGATGTGTGGCTCCAAAGGGGCAGAGCGGCAGGGCAGGCAGGAACAAGGAGGGGAGAAAAGGGGAAGTGGGGCCCAGAGACCCCAAGAGGTCAGGGACAGGTGGTTAAGAGGCCAGCTCCAGCCAGATGCTGGCTTGTGCAGGGTGGGCGGCCTGAGGGGAAGTGGTTTTGGGGTTCAAGATCAGTGTTGTGAAATAGAAGCAGGAGTCAGGACCCCCCCTTCTTGGGGCAGAGAGTGTAAACATACACACACACAACACCCTATCCATGTGACTTGCTGTCCACCCCTAAAAGCGTCCCCAGAGGGAGGAAGGGGAGGCTGGTCCATTCGGCAGTGGGGCCCATCTGGCATCAGCTCTGATCTGGCAGTGAGCTGGGGGTGGGGCTGGACCAGGGGCTGTTCAGTACAGCCTAGTTCCCAGGGCTGCTCCCCTACAAGATGTTGTTAAGGGCCGCCAAAATGTGTGCCGCCTTCATCTGTTTTCTGCCACCTTCCAGGCCTTGACCAGTGTTTGGCCTCCATCCCTGATTGACTTTTCCTTGAGAAAAGGCCCTTTGGTCAGTCCCCTCCCCAACCAAAGACTCCCGCCCACGTTCCCTCTCCTGCTCTATCCCTTGCATAGTCCAGCTGCCCTTGAGCCACTTTAATCTGAAAGACACCATTCAGCACCTCACCATCTTCTAAGACTTCTGGTGATAGAGTGAAGTCTGTGTTCTCACTTGGACTTCCTATCTTGAGGGTGGTGTAACAAGGCAGGTCTGGTGAACGTCCCTTCCCAGCTGTGCTTCTCTCCTGGGAGCCACAGTAACTCGTTTGTACCCACAGACTATGTTCACTTTTCTTGTGCTTACCTCTCTTTTCCGGGTCTCCACCTGGACCTGGTGCTGGAGCCTGCCCACAGTAGCTGGGCAGTCAGGTCACCTTGGAAAACCTGGTTCTTGGTGGGTCTGAGTAAGGCTGGCTGCACTGACTTGGGGACCTGCCACCCTCTGTGTGCAGGCCCCTGGCCACCTGGCACTCCAGAGCCTCATCTGGAAACACAGGCACTTCTGTGCTCATTGCTAAAGTCTTCATAGGATTCTTTCTAAACAAACTTAGATTTTAGAACAGGTTTAGGGTTACAAAAAACTTGTGGAGATAGTTCAGATCCTGGTTTCAAGGGCTAGGTCCACACCCGCTCAGAGCTCCTTGTGTTTAGCCCTTACAGGGTCAGGTCCGAGATTTGGCCACTGCGTCTGCCTGGTGTCCCAAGGGTTGGGGGCTGCCTGGAGGGCTGTCCTGCATCCTCCTGTGGCACTGATTGGTCACTGTTCAACAGCATGGAGGTGCCCTGTTGTCAAGGGCTTTGCCATGCAGACTTCTTGCGCCTTCAGGGTTGGTAATGGATGCCCTTTGCATGTCTTCCCCCTCTAGTCAATCATGTTTCCTTTTTCAGGCTACGTGGCTGCGTCCCCTCTGTGGCTTGTTGAGTTTTTTATGGAGTAGAAGATTTTAGGGACCCCATGTTGCATGGCTTACCTCACTAATCCATGTTCCCGCGTGATCTGACCTCCATGAAACTGCATCTCCCTCATTTGGCAGGGGTGTTGGCCAACCTGGGGAGCCAGCCCCTTATCAGACACACAGAGCCAGATGTGGCTTCCCGGTGTTGCCTAGCCCTCACTCCCTCAGATCCTGACACCCCCCCTGTGTCTTCTCCCCACCCTCTTGGGCCCCAGTTCAGGTCTCCCTGGATGTGTGCCCACGTTCTCGTGACTCTTTCCCCCATCACACTCAGCTCCCAGCACAGGGTGTGAGATGGCCAATCTCATCTTTGGCCATCTTCTCACTGTCACTCCAGCCACAGGAGAAAGTCCTGCTTTGGACACTGGTCACCCTTACATAGGCTGCATGCAAATAAAAAAGGTCAGAGGATCTGCTTTTAGGGGAGAGGGTTCTGGCGTTCTGGCTCATGGCACTTCAGATAGGAAGCGAGGATGAGTGAGGGTTCAAACCATAGGTCCACAGGAGTAGGATTTTACAGATGCATGGAATTTTAAATAGGACCTGCCAAGGGTGGTTTTGCCACCTAAGCACTGATTTTGAAAAGCCTTTATGTTTTCCCCATTATTTTCTTAAAATGAAAGCTTATTTTAAAATCCAGAAAAATAGGAAAACTGTAAATCTCAGTAAAGGTCTAAATAGGGCAGTTGATTAACCTGCACCTTTCCTGCTAAGAATGTGAGCATGTCCTCTCCAAGACCCCTCAGAGTCCCTGGCCCAGGATAGGGTAGGGATTCAGTCTTAGTGTGGCCGAGGGGACCCAGGCACATGGCTCTGTCCATCCCCCAGGATTACTACAAAATCATCAAGACACCCATGGACATGGGAACGATAAAGAAGCGCTTGGAAAACAACTATTACTGGAATGCTCAGGAATGTATTCAGGACTTCAACACAATGTTTACAAACTGTTACATCTACAACAAGGTGAGCTTTTGGGGAGGGCAAAAACGGGTAGGGGCAGAAGCAGGCGTGGGGCAGGAGTGTGGAGTGGGTGGGGTCAAGTCTGCAGGAAGAGGCATTTGTGGGCAGAGATACTGGGCCATGGTTGTGCCTGTGACTGTGTTTGTATCCTATTTCAGGGGTGAGGGGTTGTCTGGCCAAGCTGCCCTGGTTAACTTGAAGCCCAGGCTTTCAGTGCCCTGGGAATTAGGGACCTTGTACATGCCTAGTGGAGAAGGTGTGAGGACTGCAACCACATAGGTGACATAAACTGTCAGGAGGGACCTACTAGGATGTAGCTGTGCAGAGGTGGCTCACAGGAGCTGCAGGGCCAGTTAGTGGCTTCACGGGACACGGTCTTACAGATATCCTGGCATGGCTGCTCAGAGCTCCTACCCTTGGAGTCAAGGTCCCCTCGACCTTATACACACAGCTGAAGGTCACCCCTCAGCCCCATAGCTACATCCCATGGCCCAGCTGTACCATGAGGCAGGTCCTTTGTTCACAGTGAGACCACAGACGAGATTAAAACTCTCACAAATAGAGTGGGTCTAGAGGCAGACCCCAGACAGAACTTAGCTTTTGATCTCTGCTGGTGTTGTGGCAGAATAGCCAGGAAAGATAGGGAGGTGAGTTTCTCAAAGCTTCCTGGGTTTTCTAAATGCTTCTACTTGTACAAAGCTCATGCAGTGCTCACATAGACACAGGCCCTTCCAGCGTGTCAGGTGAGGCAGCATAGTGGGCAGTGTGGGGAGATCCAGTGCACTGCTATGGGGCCTCGCGAGCTGTCTGTGGCATGGGGGCCTGTAGAGTGATTCAAAGTGTCAGACCACACCAGGTCCCTGCCGGAGACCATTGAGCTTGCCATATGCTTGAGGCATTAGGATGGTTTCTCAGACTGGCCAGAACAGAAAAGATGAGAGGGAGGTGTGGGGGGCAGGACTGGCTCAGCACCTATAGGAAGAGAGGAGCCTTTGTCACCTCAGGGGCTCAGATTGAAAAGGGTCCTCCTCCCTAATATATGGCATAAATAGTCTATCAAGCATAACCCAAAATGCACAAACAGCAGAAGAGAAGCTAGATGAATGGGACCTTCTAAAAATTAAATTTTTATGTGCTTCCAAAGACTTCCGAGACAGTCAAAAGAGAACGTACAGATTGGGAAAAAATATTTGGCAATGACATATCTGATAAGGGACTTATCCCTAGAATTTATAGAAAACTCCAACACCTGAATAACAAAAAGACAAATAATCCAATTTAAAAATGGGCAGAAGACATGAATAGACACTTCACCAAAGAGGATATTCAGGAAGCCAACAGACATGAAGAAATGCTCACAATAATTAGCCATTAGAGAGATGCAAATCAAAACAACAGTGAGATACCATCTGGCCCCAGCACTAGTAGCAAAGTTCAACAAGACAAAATAACAAATGCTGGTGAGGATGTGGAGAGATTGGGACTCTCATACACTGCTGGTGGGACTGTAAAATGGTACAACCACTGTGGAAAGCAGTATGGCGATTCCTTCAAAAGTTGGAATTAGAAATACCATTTGACCCAGCCATTCCATTACTAGGTATATATCCTAAAGAAGTGAGAGCCATGACAAGAACAGACATAAGTACACCCATGTTCATCACAGCACTACTTACAATAGCCAAAAGAGGGAAACAACCTAGGTGTCCATCAACTGAGGAATGGATAACAAAATTTTGGTACATACACACAACGAAATACTGTGCAATCCTGAAGAATAGCATAGAGTCTGCAGAGCATCGCATAACGTGGATGAACTTGGAGGACATTATGCTGAGTGAAAGAAGTCAGTCACAGAAAGACAAATATTCTATTAGTCCATTATTGTAAAAGTCAAGGAACAGTTTATCTATGGAAGGAAATTTTCTTTGTTGGTTACCAGGGGTGGGAGGGGAGGGGAGGGAACACTGTTAGATAGGTAGAGATAGGTATTGATTTTGGTGAAGAGAAGGACAGTGTACCAAATGTGAGTGATCAACATGGTGGCATTGAGGAAGACAGAGAGAGGTACATGGGGGAGGTACAGACAACAAAGATAAACCCTTCTGCACATTGAATACTGGGTTGTCAGTGAAGGCGAACATGGGTATACAGGTGGATAGATGGGTGGACGGGCTCAACTCTTAGGTATATCTATGAAGTGGAGAGTGTTCCCAAGACCATGTATAGGGTTGGCAGACAATGGTCCTATAAATGTATTTGTATGTTCTGTAAGAATTCCTAGGTAGATAATAGAGCTGACAAGGGATAAGGTTGTAGTCACTTCTTGGTCACAGCCAGCTGCCGAAAGGGATTAAGTAGTTGAACTGGTGGGCGTGGGACCATAGTCGCAGGGGACATCAAGTTCAATTGGCATAACATACTACACAAAACATTGTTCCACCTCCTACTTTGGCGAGTTGCGACTGGGATCTTAAAAGCTTGCAAGCAGCCATCTAGATGCAATGATGGGTCTCTCCTCATCCAGAGCAAAGAAGAATGAAGAAAACCAAGATTCAAGAAAACAATTAGTCTAGAGACTGGTACACCATGTGATCCTCAGCCTGTACGACTATGAGACCAGGAGAACTAGATGGTCCTTGGCTACCACTGTCAGCCACTCAGAGGAGGGGAGATCCTGGATAGAGAGGGAGAATGATGTGCAATAAAACTCAAAATCATTTGGTGGGCGGGGAGGTGGTTTGGCAACGACCAGGTTTCCTGGTCTGATAGAGCCTGGTGGAACCACTGAGACTGTGGCCCCTAGCTGCCCTTCAGGTCTGGAATTGAACCCACCCCTGTGGCTTCCAGCCAAATGAAAGACAGGCATATGAGTTGAACATTTACCTGAGGTAGATACACTCCTTGGAGAGAACAATCTTGGGAGAATAGGACAGAGAGACAGCTCAGGGGGTGGAATGCATGGAGGGAGGGACACAGGGAAGAGGGTAACTGTGGGAAGGAAGTGGGAGGGGAGCTGTTCCTTTGGGGTAAATTGTAGTCAGTGTCATGAGACAAAGTGTATGTGAACTGCTGTATGGAAAGTGAATTTGCTCTGCAAACTTTAACCCAAATCACAATTTAAAGAAAAAAGTCAAGGAAACGTTTATATATGGAAGGAAATTTTCTTTGTTAGTTACCAGAGGTGGGAGGCGAGGGGAGAGAACACTGCAAAGAAAATAAAATAAATAAAAATAAAAAATAAATCAGTAGGGGGAAAAAAAAGTAAAGGGCCTCCTGGAGACACAGTGCCTGATGCTTTGGGGCAGGGTTGGCCCAGGTGATGTGCTCTCACTTGGTCTGAAGAGGTGAGGAGGGTTGTTCAACTCAACTCCATGTTTCCCCATCCAGCCTGGAGACGACATTGTCTTAATGGCCGAAGCTCTGGAGAAGCTCTTCTTGCAAAAAATCAATGAATTGCCCACTGAAGAGACTGAGATCCTGATCGTCCAGGCGAAAGGACGAGGCCGTGGGAGGAAAGAAACAGGTGGGTGTGGAAATAAGCTGTGTTTCTCCTGGGCCTTTGCCCCTTTCAGGGGCTCTAGTGGTGCAGTGGTTGAAGCATTGGGCTGGCAACCAGAAAGTCGGTGGTTTGAAGCCACCAGACACTGGGAGAAAGATGAGGCAGTCTGCTTCTGTAAAGATTTACATCCTTGGAAACCCTGTGGGGCAGTTCTACTCTGTCCTGTAGGATTGCTATGAGTCAAAATCGACTCAATGGTAGTGGGTTTGGTTTGGGGCTTTTTGCTCCTGTCCCAAGTTTGGTGATGTGGCCACAGTGTATCTAGACTGCCAGGGTATATTTGGACACAGTGGGGTTTGTTTAGTTGGGGGCTACCCATAGAGTCACTGACCATGGGACCTCTCCTGAGTAGATATGATAAGGCCTTTCCATTGTAGAGGGGGAGTCCTGGGATGGTATGAATAGTAAACACGTTTGGCTGCTAAGCAAAAGATTGGAGGTTTGAGTCCATTCAGAGGTTCCTTGACAAAAAGTCCTGATGATCCCCTTTGACCAACCAGCTACTGAGAGCCCTGTGGAGCGCGGTTCTAACTCTGACACACAGGGCATCACCAGGATTCAGATCAACTGGGTGTTTTGTTTGTTTTTGGCTTTTAAGGAGTGTTGGTGGACTTAGGTTCTTTAGAAAGGACACAGACCTATTTCAAAGTACTTTTTAAGTGACTTGAATTCTTCATCCCACCAGTGCTAAAGATGGTCTTTGCCTTTACATTGCAGAAAAAGACATTAACCTGACCAAAAGTAATTGTAGCCAGTATCTCAGCCGATCCTGGCAGTTTGGGGCCCACTCCTTTGAGGTGAGGTACCTGAATGCACTTGCATCAGACCCACACCTCTTCATTGCTGCTGTCCCTTCAGAAGTTTGTCTCGTACTCGATGCTTTTGACATGGGGTTCCCCAGGTCATCTGGCTGCAGTAGCTCAGAAAATCAAATGGCTCTGGTGCAGGCAAGTTGTGAGCAGCTGCCTTCTGTGGTTTCTGATCCACACGGCAGAGGGGTGGTGGCTGCACACAGGACCAGGGTGTGGCTTGTTTGCTATCCCAGAGTGTCTTTCTCTTCATCTCGTCTCTGTGCTGGGCTCAGAGTCTGTTGGGAAGCTAGGGTGGAGGAGGCAGGGTTGCAGGCTAGAAAGTGAGATGGCTAGGCAAGTATCAAGGGGTGGCCAAGGAGCAAGTTCACTTGGCAGCCCTTGGCTGTTTTGCATGTTGAGAAACTGACCCCATCTACCTAGCCAAGGCTTTTGTTTTAGCAGGAGGCCCCTCCCTGAGACCAGAGGTATGGTCAGCTCACGGGCCATGTGGCAGTTCCTCTGCTTAGTCTCTGGGAGCAGTGCCCAGTGGTGGGAGTGGTGACCCAGTGAATCCAGTAGAAGGAACAGCAACACTGTCTGTCTGTCTCTCTCTCTCTCTCGGCTGGGAGAGCCATAGGGGCGGTTGCTTTTCCAGGACACTGGGCGTCTGGGTGCTCGAGTGTGCAGGCGATGGCAACCATCTGTTTAGGCCTGTCTCTAGTCCCCTGTGTGCATGGCATAGCCATGGGCACAGTAGTGTCCAGCGTTGGAGCTGGCTGGGTATGCCCAGTGGCCGTTTGATGCTCAGGCTCACCTGTTGGCTATGAGGAGTCCTCTTGCACCAGTCACCAAGGACACCAGTTGCCCAGTTTCTCCTGGGGCCCAGGTGGGGCCTGCCAGCTTCCAGAAGCTTCAGCAAGGCTGAGAAGCACCTCACAGGTGGTGCTTCTGGAATGAGGACAGCTTGGCTGGGAGCTCCTGGGAGCGTTTCCTCCACTCTCAGCCTCAGCCCAGGTGCCAGCACCCAGCTGGTGCCCTGCACCAATCAGGCCATCATGCTTGCTGAGAGGGTCTCTGCCCCGAGCTAGGCACTGTGACAGGACACCCCAAAGTGTGAGTCGCAGATGGAGCAAGCCCTGCTTCTTGGGGCAAGGGGTCAGGCCAGATGTGTAGCACAAGAGCTGCTGAGGGCTCTGTCTCTGGCGGTCAGCTGGTGCAGGGTGGGCCTTGTGAGATTGGCTGGAGACAGCTCTTCACTGCCTTCCCTTTCTCTATCCTCAGGGACGGCAAAGCCTGGCGTCTCCACGGTACCAAACACGGCGCCAGCATTGACGCCTCCACACACCCAGACTCCTCAGCAGAACCCTCCGTCTGTGCAAGCCACACCCCACACCTTCCCTGCCGTTACCCCAGACCTCATTGTCCAGACGCCAGTCATGACAGTGGTGCCGCCCCAGCCGCTGCAGGTGCCCCCACCGGTGCCACCCCAGCTCCCTCCCCCTCCCACACCGGCCCCCCAGCCTGTGCAAAACCACCCTCCCATCATCGCAGCCACCTCGCAGCCAGTAAAGGTGAGTGTCACCCCTGCTGTGCAGGTGGGGAAGGGGACTTAGCCTGGGCTGCACGGAGCCTGTGGTGCTTTGAATGGGAGTGGGTGTTTTGGGGAGTCCACTGTGTTTAACAGGAGCTCTGGTGGTGCAGTGGTTGAGATATTCTGCTGCTGACTGGAAGGTTTGCAATTTGAACCCACCAGCTGTTCCTTAGGATAAAGATAAGGCAGTCTTGCTTCCTTAGCCTTGGAAACCTTATGGGGCTGTTAATAAGTCTGGCCACAAGGCCACATCATGTGCCACCTCCAGAGTTTCTCCTGTTTCTGATACAAAGCATAGTGTCTGTGGTTGCTATCTGAGTACCCTCTGGGGTACCCAGCAAGCTGAGCGGCAGAGCTGGACCCTAAGGCCCCCAGCTCTCAGCAGACAGTGACTTTTGTAGGCCTGTGGCTCCAGACACAGCTTCTGTAGCCAGCTGTGCTGTCCCTGCCACAGATGGTCCTGTCCCATCTGCAGAACAGGGTGTAGGGAGAGGGCCCCTGTTCTCAGCCTTGGACCTGTGTCCAGGGAGTCCGGATCTCAGTCAGAGATGGGGGACACCCCAGGTGCAGCTCTGCAACTGCTGCCCCACTGACCCTGGGGCACCTGTGCTCTCCACAGACGAAGAAAGGGGTAAAGAGGAAAGCAGACACCACCACCCCCACCACCATCGACCCCATCCATGAGCCACCCTCATTACCACCGGAGCCCAAGGCCACTAAGCTGGGCCCACGGCGAGAGAGTGGGCGGCCCGTGAAGCCCCCGAAGAAGGATGTCCCCGACTCGCAGCAGCACCCGGCACCTGACAAGAGCAGCAAGGTCTCGGAGCAGCTCAAGTGCTGTAGCGGCATCCTTAAGGAGATGTTCGCCAAGAAGCATGCAGCCTACGCCTGGCCCTTCTACAAGCCTGTGGACGTGGAGGCACTGGGCCTGCATGACTACTGTGACATTATCAAGCACCCCATGGACATGAGCACAATCAAGGTGGGGCTTCCCCCAGGCTGGGAGGGGGCCTGGCCAGGGCGGATGGGAACTTGAACAAGGAGCTGTCTGGGCTTCTCCACCTGCCTGGAGGAGCCCAGCACCCCCTGCTGGGGAGAGTAGGGCTTTGTTTCCAGGCCATGCATGCACTAGGGAATTTGAGTTATGGCAAAGTAAAGCAAGCCCTCTGATCGGGCCTAGCACCCCAGCACCTTGCATGCAGTGGACACTCCAGGAGAACAGAAGCTGGTGGTCACACCCTCACCCTGTGTCAGGGAGATGACCCTTGTGGTCTCCCCTCTTTGAGAGATGACAACTAGGGCTGGCACTGTAACTGCATCCTCATAACCAGGCACATGGAAAGAGCTGGTGACTAGGATGAGAACTCAGTGCTGTCTGTTTGAGATTTTCTGTGCATATTCACAGCAGATGGGGTGGGTTCCTTTGGCCAGTGCCATGTTTTGGGTCTGCCCAGATCAGAATGGGCTTAACACCCCTACTTTGCAGTGCTGGCCTAGGCAGTACCTCCTACACGAAGTGGGTAGGTTTGGGGGCACCAGTTCCCAGCCCTGAGGCTTGCTTTTGAGTGTGGCCTTTTCCACCTGACACTGAGAACTTGGGTGACCCGAGAAGCGTGTTTGCTCCCCCAGGCAGCCCTCACTGGTCCTGCCATCCCTGGGACAGGCTTGCATGGCTAACAGGCCTGGTCCTATCTTCCCAGTCTAAACTGGAGGCTCGCGAGTACCGCGATGCTCAGGAATTCGGTGCCGACGTCCGATTGATGTTCTCCAACTGCTACAAGTACAACCCTCCTGACCACGAGGTGGTGGCCATGGCACGGAAGCTCCAGGTGAGGCTCTAGGTGGGGACTAACTTTGTCTTTACCACTTGCTTTGTTAAAGCACCATGTCGCTTTGGAAAAGCGGTCTCAACTTGGGATGAAGTAGAAAAGCCAGGGGTTGTAAACAAGTGATTTGTTCTGCTGGTCTTAGGTGTGTGTGTTTTACCCCGTCCCACAGTTACTCGTCTTTGGCAGGAGGAGAGTGTTGTGTGTAGTCAGGGCCTTTCTTCAAAACAGGATTGTCTCAGGTTGGCAAAGGGCATCCTTTGTCACAGTTGCTGTGATGGAGCCTCTGAATCTTTCATTGCTAGACAGTCTGTCCAAGTGCTTTCAGGGTGGGGAGGTTATAGGACACACACATCAATCACTTCCCTTTTTTTTTAAATATATATATATATAAATGGAAAATCACATACCCAACATCATGAGTGGTTCTCTTTGGATAATAAGGTTGAGGGTTAAAAATTTTGGAGAAAAAAGTCAGTATTTGGTATTTTAATAATTCTCTTTTTATTCTTTGAAATTGTACATGGAGTCCAGTCTTGTCTCCTTGAGGCTTGCTTCTGTTCCAAGGTCAGAGCAGACCATGGGCTGGGCTCTGCCATCCAAGGCACGAGCACCCTGGGTCTAGGATGGGGGGACTGCCTACTGTTTCCCCACCCCCATTTTCACTGCAACCCATGAAGTGCCTCCAGAGCAGAAAGGGAACACTGGTGAAGACTTTGGCCACGGTGGGGCTGTGCCTACCCAGTACACTGGCTGCTGCCACCACACTGTCCAGACTTACTGCCCCAGTGCCTCCTACTTCTTTCCCAGAGACAGGGTGTGGCCACCTCAGTTCCTGCAGCTGGCCCAGAGGACGTATCCCTCAGCTCAGGGTGGGAAAAGTGCTCCCCAATGCAGGGAGTCCGTAGGCTCTTGTTCCTACGGGCCTCATTCTTGTTGTGGGTGCCCACTCAGACTGGAAATGCTTATTTCTGCTATTAGGTTCAGTTTCATTTTCTCCAGGACTTTTCTTGGTGAAGCTGGAGGGGTGCTCAGTTTGGTGCTGCCTGTGCCTGCCTTCACAAAACTGCCTGTCACCATTAGCTGCATGTCCTTTGCTTTTTGCATCATTTTACTGCAATTTTTATTAAGGGTCACCAGGTGGCAGTGTTGCCCTCACAGTCGCCCCTGAAAGAGAGGAGTGGCTATTTTGCCTAAGGCATTTGACTGCTAGCCACCAGCCACTCCTGGGAAGGAAGGTTGGGCAATCTACTTCCCTTATGATGCCACCTTGGAAACCCAAGGAGGGGTGGCTGTGAGTCAGATCCGACTCCACGGCAGTGCACTGTGTTTGTTCGTTGCTTTTTATTTGTCATGCTGAAAACAGCCATCAAAAACAAATTCTCTGCCAGCAACCAAGATTGCTATTTTGAGCTATTTTATTCAAGAAGAAAAAAGGAACAAACAGCTTCTAGTATCTTTTAGCTCTTGTTGGAAATGCTGTAACCAAAGAAAAAACCCACTGCCGAGTCATTTCTGACTCATAGCGATGACTCCTTGGGTTTCTAAGGTGGTATCTCTTTGGAGGTAGATTACCCACTTTTTCTTCTGAGGAGTGGCTAGAAATCCTGTAGCTGCCTTTTTATCCCGGAGCCTTCACCCTCCAACAGAGGTTTATGGTGGTTCATTTTTAGGCTTTTTGTGCGGTTGTCCTCCTGTGGGAGTGAAGCAGGCCTGCCTTAGGGGGTGGTTTACAAATGGCAGGACCTTTCAGTGGTTACCACCTTAGCCTCCTGTGCTGAAGGGTTTGTTTGTAGGCATTGACTCCAGATGCCAGGCTGGACCAGGCACAAGGGCCCCCGGGTCAGATAGGGGCAAGGCTGGGTCTGCTGTGTGTGCCTGGGGAGGGTCCAGGAGCTGACTGGGCTACACCATGTTATAAATTGCAGCATCACCTCATATGCCATGAAGAAAGAGATATCTGTCCCAGCGGCAGAGCTGGTTCATAAGAGCCTTCTGCAGGCCTTCTTGTTGGAAGAAAAAAAGCCTACTTTCTACCAAGTCAGTTCCCACTCCTCATAACTCCCCATGAATGTCAGGGTAGAACTGTGTTCCATGGAGTTTTTGGTAGCTGGTTTTCTGAAAGTAGATCAGCAGCCCTTTCTTCTGAGACACCTCTAGTTAGACTTGAACCTCCAGCCTTTCAATTAGCAGCCAAGGGCATTCACTGTTTGTACAGTCCGGGGACTCTTTGTCAGGAAGGCCAGCATAGTTGTGGGCTTTGTTTTTCCTCAAGTCCCAAGCATCACTGTGGTGTAAAGAGCCAGCTCGCTGCAGGGTGGAGTGGGGGCCAAGCCCCAGCCCCTGTGCTCGTCTCTTGAGCACTTTTGAGGCCTGCTGTGCCCAAGGACTGGGACTTACCTGGAAGCTTCTGTGGAAAGGAACCTATTTTGTCTCCCTTTTCCAGGCTCTCGATTCCGGGCTTTTAGAAAATCCACAGATACCACCATGATCATGAAGCCAGCACAAACTTGTGGGTTTGAGGTCTCCTTGGGGGCAGAGACTTGCTGTTGGCCTCCGCTCTGTGTGTTCTGCTTTGTAGTGAATAAGGGAGTAATTTAGAAAGCATGTTAGCAATTGCAGCCCATATTGGTACCAGATTAAGAAGCAATGTGAATTCAAGGTGGATTGCGGTGATTTTTACAGAAGGAAAAGAAACTGAAAAGTGCATTGGGATCCTGCATACAGCATCAGAGGCAGGGAGTATTTAATGGGGGGTGTCCATGTCTGTGTGTGACTGTGTGTGTGTACGTGTGTGTTTATCTATGTGTGACTTTGTGCGTGCCTATACGTCTACCTGTGTGTGCATGAGTGTCCATCTTCCACTCATAGCTGTGTCCCTAGCACCTGACCCCTGCTCTTCCCCCACCCAAGCTTTGCACCTTGGGTGTGGCTAAGCCCTGGAGCAGTCTGGTGGAGCTAAGGGGAAGCTGGTTGGGCTGCCCATTCTCGGGGGTCTTGGGGTCTTCAGACACTGCATCGTACCTTCAGCATCTCTTTCCCATGTGAATCTGATGCAGCCTAGGCTGAGTGACTGGTCATCATCCCAGTGAAGACAGGTTCTTGTTTGGTGATCATTTGGGTTTGCAGAGGAGCATGATGTAACCTAGACTTATTGGCAGAGGGGATAGTGGTCACAGGACACGCAGAAGAGGCTGGCCCAGGGTAAGACCACTGCTGTCATCTGCTAGCCTTGGGATTACGATTACCCTTAGAGAGGATGGCTTAAGCCCTTCACATTCCCTGCAGATGCTGGGGTCCACCTATTGTCACCGTCTTCTTACAGCCAGCTCTTCGCAGTTCTCCGTATTCGTTGTCTCTGCCCTCTCTGGCCTGGGCCTACAGTGTCCTCACTGGCCCTTCCACTACCTATAGCCAGACGAAGCGCCTGGGCCCTGTGCCACCTCTCCTCCCCTTCTGCCCTTCATAACCCTCTTCCCTGGCCCTGCCTTCTCAGCCACCTGCAGGAGGAGGGCCCTTGGAGGTAACCCTGCTTGTCTGGCCCTCAGCTCTCAGTTTATGGCTGCTGATGGGTCTCCGTATTCTTCTCCACTGGACTGAGAGCTCTTAGAGGCAGAGGACATGTCATCTGGCAGCCACAGCAGAGTGCTTGGTAGATGCTTGTCTGCCTCGTCCCTAAGAAAGGTTTTCCTGCAGCAGCCTTGGTCTCGTGGACATGGGTCTGGAGAGCATTTCCAGAGTCAGGGATGGACCCAACCCCACAGCTGGGTAAGGCCAGGGAGGCAGCATCCGCCCCATGCTGGCCTATCCCTCCCCACCCTCCTCCTGCAGATGAATGCAGTGTCTTCTTTGCCCTAGACTTTGTTGGGCCCCATCTTCTGCGTGTTGCTGTTTGACCCTGGGGCCTGGGAGCGCTGGCTACCCCTGCTGCGCACTCTGTAGGGGACGGGAAGGAGTCTTTTTCTCGTGGCAGGGGCAGTGTAGCCAGGGCAGCCTACTCTCTGGCCCAGGAGGAGAGTGGTTACCTCCCAGCAGCCCCAAGCACCTGGCACTGCCTCTGGCCTTCTCCCTTCCTGAAGTCCTGAGACACTGTCAGGCACAAGTCTCCCCTAAGCTGAACCCCTCACCTCAGTCGTTCCTTAGCCTATGGCTGGGTTTTGCTGCTGGTGTGACCCCCTTCCTCCTGGACCTCCCTCCTGGCAGCCTGGGCTCAGGGACTGACCTGATCACACTAAACATACTTACTCTTCTAGAACTCGATCAACAAAATCACCATGGAGAAAAGTCCTGGCTGGCACTGTGCTGCCACCTTTGGTCTATACCCCAGGGGGCTTGGAAGGGTATAGTAGGGGAGAGGGGAGACCTCACCAGACTCTCATGGAGACGTGACTGCTCTCAGAAGTGTGCCGGCTAGGCCGCCTCTGTCTGTGCATGACCATGCTGACCAACTTAGTCCAGGCTCCATTGGGTTCCTGTAGTCCTGGGAGGAGCTGGCCCATTTTTTCCACCACTGTTCTCCAGCCTGAATCATCACTGGGTTGATACTTTTAGACCCTGCCCACTTCTGTCTGACTTCTAGTTCGGTATCGGAGAGACTCTTGGGTCCTCTGCTCTGTTGGCTGCTGTGCCCAGGGTGCCCCCTCCCTCATGTTAGCATGGGTGGGCAGGGGCCCAGGGGCTGTCTGGGCCAGTCATCAGGGACTTCAGCAGGTCAGCTCTCTTGTTCAGTGTTGAGAGCCCTCACCTGGGCTTGTCCCTAGGGAGGGAGTAAGTGAGGCGACCTTCAAGGGGGGCTTCCTGTCATGGAAAGCTGGGCCATGGTCCTCACAGGCATGACACCCCACCCCCCCAGGACGTGTTTGAGATGCGCTTTGCCAAGATGCCGGATGAGCCTGAGGAGCCCGTGGTGGCTGTGTCCTCACCAGCTGTGCCTCCTCCCACCAAGGTGGTAGCCCCACCCTCATCCAGTGATAGCAGCAGCGACAGCTCCTCAGACAGTGACAGTTCCACTGACGACTCTGAGGAGGAGCGGGCCCAGCGCCTGGCCGAGCTCCAGGAACAGGTGAGGCTGTCCTAGGCCCCTGGCCCTGGGCTATGGTAGTCGCCCCTCAGTGCTATATTCCAAGTTCCCACCCCTCTGAGGCTTGGACCTCTCTGCTGGACAAGTGTTGTGTTGGTTTCATATGTGGGTGGGGGGGTTTCATACATGCTGGGGGACAGTCTTCTCTGAGCAGAAGAGAAACTTCTGGGTCCTCAGCCCAAGAAAGGAGGGGGCAGGACCAGAATATCTGTCTTTCCTGAGGTCACTTGCCTGCCTTCCTACTCAGCCCCTTCAGGACCCTTTCAGGGTGACCATTGGGCTCAGTACCTTGTTCTCACCTTTGGAGCCCAGGGCATTGGTGGGCACTGAGCTGAGAGGCCTCCTGCATTCCCCACCCATGCTCCATGCCCCCTACCTTGGCCCCACTTTCTGGGTGCCAGAGGAGCTGATCTTGGAGGTCTCCCCACAGCTCAAAGCCGTGCACGAGCAGCTAGCAGCCCTTTCCCAGCCCCAGCAGAACAAGCCAAAGAAGAAGGAGAAAGACAAGAAGGAAAAGAAGAAAGAGAAGCACAAAAAGAAAGAGGAAGTGGAGGAGACGAAAAAGAGCAAAGCCAAGGAAGTCCCTCCCAAGAAGACCAAGAAGAACAACAGTAGTAACAGCAGTGCAAGGTCTGTGCCTCCCACTGGTGGTTGGGGGGCCTCTCTGGAGGCCAGTTGATTGCACACAGGCCTAGCCACCCTCCCCTCCCCTTCCTCTATGAGCCTTTTGGCAAAGGAACATGGTGCCCATGACCAGGGCACTGGGGAAGTGGTCCCTGTGGTCCAGGGGAGCCCAAAGCATGCCACCTAGGGCCACAATGCAGTCGGCCATATCCCCCCCCTCCCCAATTTGGGTGGCCTGCTTGTTGTCTGCAACAGATGCTTCCTAGGCACCCACTGTTGGCACCTTGGTTCCCTAAAGCCACACTAGTGGGTAAGTGGGAACATCCTGGGGTGGTGCTTGTTATTTTCTGTTGAGTTGGACCCGACTCATAGCAACCCCTCCTTGGGTTTCTGAGGCGGTATCACTACAGAAATAGACTGCCCAACCTTCCTTCCGAGTAGTGGCTGGTGGGTTTGAACCACCAGCCTTCTGGTTAGCAGTCAAGTACTGTAGGCATTATGCTACCATAGTTCCCACATCCTGGGGAGAAGGGGCTTATCCTGATGGCATCTGCATCATCCCCCTGCAGCAAGAAGGAGCCGGCGCCTGTGAAGAGCAAGCCACCACCGGCATATGAATCTGAGGAGGAGGACCGCTGTAAGCCCATGTCCTACGAGGAGAAGCGGCAACTGAGCCTGGACATCAACAAGCTGCCCGGCGAGAAGCTGGGCCGTGTGGTGCACATCATCCAGTCACGCGAGCCCTCACTCAAGAACTCCAACCCTGATGAGATCGAGATCGACTTTGAGACCCTGAAGCCATCAACACTGCGTGAGCTGGAGCGCTATGTCACTTCTTGCTTGCGCAAGAAGAGGAAGCCCCAAGGTGCGTGGGCCCAGCCTTCCTCCTCGGCATGGTTCTGTGGGCATGCAGTGTTTTCTGTGGGCTTTTCTAAAAGATGCCACCTGTCCCCTCGATCTGGAAAATCCCCTGAGGGTGGAACCATGGGCCCTGATTTTATCTCGGGCTCTGAGCAGCAGTGTCTTCCCTCATGCTGTTGCCCACTTCTTTCAACTCTTAGAGCCACAGCTAGGAGGGAAGGCAGGTCTGTGCTGTCGCAGACAGCAGTGTAGACGGCAAGTTCAGCTGGAACGGAATGTGGCTGCCGGCCTGCTCTCGTGTGGTCAGCTGTGTGGCTCCCCGCCCTGAAAAGGTCTTCAGGCCCCTCATTGTTACCATCAATGTCTTGGCTTCATGTCAGGTGCCTAGCCCAGGCTGACTCTGTTGTTTTGGGGCCCGCCCTAATATGGGCAGGTGTACCCTGCCTGGCAAACGGGGTGTCGCATTGGTGCTTTCCTGCCTTGCCCTGTCTTGGTGTCATATTCCCTGAACCTCTCTCTGGATGCAGCCAGAAGAGTGGCTGAGAGCCCAGGCCCCACACCGAAGCACCAGTGTTAGGAAATGTTTCTCCAGCCTGTCTTTCAGGTCTGACATGCCCTACAGGGAAATGAGTGGGTCTTGAATTCTTCTGTAGGCCACATTTTTGGAATAACATGTGGCCATCTAGGCTGTCACCTCTGGGAAGAATGAGGCCAGGTGGGGTTTGGGGTGCCAGCTTCCTTGAGGCTGGATGGGCTGCAGTGGCAGGCCCTGTGTCAGCAGCCCTGTGCTCCCATTGCAGCAGAGAAGGTGGATGTGATCGCCGGCTCCTCCAAGATGAAGGGCTTCTCGTCCTCAGAGTCAGAGAGCACCAGTGAGTCCAGCTCCTCTGACAGCGAAGACTCCGAGACAGGTCAGGTGGCTCGTGTGTGAAACACCATCTCCCTTTGACCTGCCATACCCTCCGTCCACCCACCTGCTATGTTAACCTTCGAATTGGGGACGGGGGCGGCCTTGCACCCTCTCTAGCAGTTACCCTTACTCTCCCCAAATGCTACCTGGGCTGGGTCATCCAAAGGACTGGATGGTGAAGGGGTTGGGGGATAGGGTGTGCAGGCTGAGCGAGCCCAGGTGCTGGTGTTGCCCGTGGTGTGCCCCTCCCAGCTGTTAACCCCAGTGGGTGCACATGTCCCTATGGTGTCCCCAAACCACAGTCCATGTGGTGTGGACACAGGCAGGCCTGCTCCACCCCAGGATGTGCTACTCTCAGCTGCTTCTTATTCTGCACACGTGGACACTGGTGCTCTGTGCCCCTCACAGTCCCCCTCCCATGAGCTCTGCCCACTCAGGGCCCCTATTGTGAGCAGCAGCTGAGGTGGTGGGGGATAGGAGCAGAGTGAGACTCTAGAAGCCTCATGGGAGTCTGTCCTCCAGCATTTTCCTTGTTATACTTAGGGGGCACAGATGCTAGGACTGGCCAGTGGGGGTGGGAGTGGGGGTAGAGAAGCCCGAGGACCTACCTGCCCCATCCAGTGAGGAAGCAGGCGGTCTGTGTTTGGGGTGAACCAGAGCTGTCTAGGGAGTGCATTTAGGTCAGACCACATGGAAGCAGGCAACAGGCAGGTGGAGTATGGGGAACCATAGTAGGGATGGGATTCCTGGCAGGACCCACTCTGGTATTCTAGTGGAAGTAAACAGTAAACCTGCGTCAGCAGTTTGATAAAACTTTGATGTGAGTGTGGCACAAGGTCAGAGTCACTTCCTGTAGCCTGGTGCTGGGGGCCACACACAAGGAGGGACGTGGGGAGGGAGGCATGTGCGTGGGAAGTACAGATGTGCCTGGGCTGAGTGTTGGCAAGTCCCTTTCTCCCCTCCACACTCTGCAGAAAAGTGACCTCATGGGTGATGGGCTCCAGAGAGATGAAGTTCATTAGCCCAGGTCTGTCCTGTATTTATTGTGTGCCTGCTGTTTGCCAGTTTGGGCCTCAGGCCACCATCCCCACCCCCACCAGGTCCCTTGTGACTGCTGTGTCTGCTGCCAGCAGGGGGCGCCTCACCCTTGCTGAGGGGAATGGCCGTATTCTTTGACCCTATTAACATTCTCTGCATCAGGAGCAGCCCAGTCACGGTTGGCCACCTCTGGTTGCACCTTCTTATATTTTTTGTAGACTGCTTCTGCCAGGGTTTCTACGGCCTTTCTCCTCAGGACCTAAAGCTGACACTGCCTAGGTCACATCGTGACCTGTTGTGGGGGCCCTGAGCCCCTCTGAGGTGCAGTGTGCACGTGCTCAGGTGGGAGTTCTGGGAGCAAGCTCCCCTCCCCTATCCCTCCAGCCAGCCCACCTGCCCATGGGTTGGCCATGAGGCATCGCCAGCCACTCTGCCGCCGAGATTTTTTTTTCTTCATTTTTTTCCACTTTTCCTCCTTTAAAGTACGGGACAAGATTGTGCAACAAGTAACCCGAGAGCCCTGGGAACAGCTGTTCTGGCGGGAAGGAGGCAAGATTTACAGTCTTGGTGCCGCCGGCTCCCAGGCTTCCGCTGCTCGGCTCCTCAGCCAGCCCTCCCCATCTAGCACTGACCAGGCTCCCTTTGTCTTCCCCTCCCTCAGTCCTGTCCACTGGTGAGCTCAGCATCCATGGGGGGCCATGCACGTGTGTTAGTGCTGCACCACTCGGATGCTGGTGATCCCAGTGTGCGCACCCAGGCCCTGAGCCAGCTGGCTGTGGCCTCCTGCACTCGATCCCCTGGGCGAGCGGGGCCTGGGGACACACGGCAGACAGACGGATGTGGGTACCAGGTCCAGTGGCCAGCAGCCTCACTTTCTGTGGTGATTATAGGCAGTCCTGCCTGGGGGAGTAGGCAAGCAGAGGACGTGGAACATGGCTCCTCTGGTCTTTCTCCTTGTTCCCATACTTCCGTTGCATAGCTGGAATTCTGAAGTTGCCCATTTCTGTCACCCACACAAGCCAGTTCTACCAGATCAGCCCCAGATGTGGATCTCTGTGGGAAGCTGAACAGAAGGGGGTGTAGAGGGGCCACCAGGTCCTCCGCACCCTTTCTCCCCCTACTCTTGCTCCACCACGTCCTCTGAACGGTGGTCTTTTACTGAGCTTAAAGTATGCTAATACCTTTGCTATTGGAATGGGGAGAGATGAGTTGGACATCCTTGGTCCTAGCTGTCACTAGAGGATGTCTTAGGACCCTTCTCTCCAGCTCTGACCTCATCCTGTCAGATGAAGTCCTGGATGGGAGGCATAGCTCGAGCCCCTCACGAGAGCCCTGGGCACCTGGGGCAGGTGGGCACCAGGAGGTGCGGGGATCTGGGCCTGGCCTGCTGTACTGTTGGCAGCAGCACACACTCAGCTATTTTCATCTCCTGGTTTCCTTTTCCCAGGATTGGAGTGTGTGGGTGTTTCTTAATAGCTCTAGGGGAAAAAGGAATGCTTCATGTTTTGGAAAGATCCTGGGCTTGAAAGTGCAGACAGAGGCCACGGGCGGACCTTCTCACTAAACAGGCCGCCTCAGCCTCCCACCGGGGTCTGAAGAGCCTGTTCCCAGCCTGACTTGGGCCTGCCTGCTGCTCTGCAGTGGGGGCCAAGTCCTGGGGAGAAAAGGAAGAGATCTGGAAGGCAGGGTGCAACATGCACACATAAGGGGTTCTGGCGGCTTGGGGACCAGGTCCAGCCCCTCCGAACGTAGCCCGAGGAGGAGGCCAGCCCAAGGGCACCTTTGCCATCAGAAGGTCTGAGGACATGGGAGGACCGGTGCAGTGGTTTCATCAGTGACTCTAAACCAAATGTCTGCTCTGTGCAGGGTGGCCACTGTGGGATGCCCATGGACAGAAAGCAGGTCTCCTCCTTGACTCATTCCTTCCCCCTTTCCTCACCAGCATGTGTGGCCGGTGCCTCCTCTTCCAGCTTGTGTTCTTGGTCCTAGGGCTCTGGAGGAGGGCCGACTGGCCTCTAGGTCTTTCCCTCCCTCGGCTGGAGGTCCAGCTCTCAGAACCTCCCCCCTCTAGGGGCTTGGCTTGCTCCTCCTACCTGAGCCCCACCCCCTCCCTGGGGCTACTGCCCTAGTAGGGCCTGTGCAGAGCTGGTTCTTCAGGAAGGAGAGTGAGGGGGCGGGGGTGCCTCTCAGAATTCAGAGGAATTTTGATAAACGGAAATGCCAGCATCACACTGTGCGAGTCCATATGGAACTCATTACAGAAGCCGTTGTTCTGTTAGAATCACAAACAGGCGCAGGATAGTTCTGGAGAAGTCCGCACACAGCACGCTTTCTAGGGGAAGTGGGTGTGCGCAGTGCCCTCCCACGGGATGCAGCTTTACCCCCTGGTTCTCTGTGTCCCACGGGCACAGGAGGCCGGCCAGCCACAGCTCTTGGTTCTTGTGACTGATTGAGCGGAACATTCCACACCATCTCTCTCACACTGGTTTCTCTCTCCCTCTATGTAGGTCCTGCCTAATCATTGGACACGGACTCTTAATAAATCGGTCTTCAGTTCCAGATTCCTTCCCAGCGAGCTATAGCTTAAGTCCATTTTCTTCCGTGAAAGGGACAGGACTCCACCAAGTCACGCACCCTGAGAGCCTTGGGGCTGTCCCCAGGGGGGGTGCTAAGTCATGCCCAGCAGTGCTCGCCTGTCCCTCTCCAGGAGGGCTGCCACAGGCCCCCTGGGCCCTCCAGGGTCGAGACTGCCTGACTGTAGTGCCCAGCCCACTGTGGGGCCTCGGGGCAGGGCAGCTTCCAAGGGCGGTGCAATCCCCCTTGCACACGTGAGGTGTGCTGCCCAGGTGCAAAGTGTGTTCTCTTCACCTTCCTTCTTTCCCGGGACTCTGGATCCTCTGCTCCTTCCAGGACTTGCAGTGACATTAGCCAAGGAGAGCTTTTGTTCAGCCTAAGGAAGAACACGCTAGAGCTTTCCCAGATGAGGCCTGCTGGCACCCGAGGGCTTCCCTCTGCCCTGCCAGGGTCACTCAGCTGCAGGGCTCCCCGGCTACAGCCAGCTCTCGGCTCCTGGAGGCTTCTTCCATCTTCTTTGCCCAGTGCATTTCCGGAAGCTTGAGCTGCCTGCCCCTCTTCTTTGACCTCTTCCCTGATCACATAGGGAGAGGTCCCTGTGCTGCTTCCCCAGACTTAGAAGAGGCCTGCACCTCCTCGATGAGGCATCAGGAGGCAGGGGCTGCCAGGTGGGCCCATGGGGTGGGTGCTGGGGGTACCATGCAGCCAGCTGACCTTGGGCTGCTGTCTCCCCTCCCAACAGGGTTGGGGTCTGCCCCCAACTAGTGGGCCCTGGACCTGTGGGCAGATGTCAGTGCCCTGGGACCTGCCCCAAGGCTCTGCTGCGGGTTTTGCCAGTAGGCACATCTTCGGTCTGGAATAGTTACAGTCACCAAAGGGAGAGGGCAGGCCAGGGTGGTCACTTTTTCCAAGTGGCATCGAATGGGCCGTTTTACTCTAAAAATAAACACCAGCCCATTTTTGGTCACAAATCCAGCATCATGGCAGAAAACCGCGTGACGCACATAGTCTACTGAGAAGCATATCCGTGTCGGGGTGCGTTTCCTTCTTACGTGCAGTCTGCGTGCACACGCACCGCCCTTCTCAAAGGCCATCACCTCATGGGGCCGAGGGCTGCCTAGGGGGCATTGCTCCGAAGGCAAGCCTACCCCCCTCTTCCCAGCCGGTCTCTGCCCAACCCTGCCTAACCTTCACCTTGACCTTAGTCAAACTCCCAGTTCCCAGGCAAGCTTTGTTGGCCAGACAAGCTATTTTGAGCTGCACTTTGGCCTGCGCCTGGCTCTTCCCAGTGCAGAACAGCCAGGCCCAGAGCTGCTGCCCAGAGATTCCCACGGGGCCTTCCAGGCCACTGGTGTCTTTCTGGGAAGATTCTGCTGGGTTCTCAGTGTTGGGCTTGAGTCCTGGACCCTACGTGCATCACACAGACTGTAATCCCGGTGGGCCCTGCAGGTCCTTTCCCCTGGCTATTTAGGCCTCATCCTCATCTGCCTGCAGAGAGAGCTCAGAGCCCAGTAACTGGAAGGTTTCTCAGATTTGGGCTGTCACCTGTACCAGGTGCTCCTGGAGCGTGCTGGAGGAGACAGGCCCTGCCACCTCAGGGGGCTGAGCAGTGGGAAGGTTCCCAACACACCAGCTGGGCTGTGGATCACAAGAAGGGCGAGAGGGGGCAGCCAACTCTGGTGACCAGGTCGTCGGACCCTCAGAACCCAGACACCAAGGCTCTCCCAGGCAGCTCAGTTCAGGCCGTGCTCTTCCTCTGCTCTGCCCTCATCCCTCCATCCTCCCCTTCCATCTTGTCCCCTCCTCTGCCCTCCGTCCTGCCCCTCCCCCCTCACTGCTCTGTCCTCCCCACTCCATCCTCTGCCCTGCCCTCACTGCTCTGTTCTGTTTCTTTCACTTTCAGGGGGCTGGGGACAGGGGAAATCAGTGTTTTAATCAAATTTTACAGAAACTTTTTAAATCTTTGTACAATTACATCCTCTGTAAAGCTGAAACTGTGTTGAGTTGGCGATTGTTGTGGAATAAAGATCACACCGTGCTTTGAGGCCATCTTCATGTAACCCGTTCTAGAGAGTTTTGTGGGGGGTTGGGGCTGGCATGGTGTGACGCTGTCGTGGACCTGTTCCCTTCTCGTCCTGTCTTCTTGCTGGGAACCCCAAACTAGCCACGGCCCCACCCTGGAGCCCTTGAACACCACGACCCTGCAGGTCCCACCCGCTTTGTCCCTAGTCTTCTAATCGGTCCTCCACCTCACGACCCTTAATGAGCGATCCCTCCAAACTTGTTACTCCTTCCCCTAGTCGTTTTCCCACTATATGGTGGGTGTCTGGCTGTCGCTTTTTCTGGTCAGACTTCACTGATGGGCCCTGCCTCCTTCCCTCCCTGTCCCCTCAAACTTCCACCCACTGTGTCCTAGACGCCCACTGGCCTCCCCCAGGCCCAGCTATAAGGCATTGGGACTGCATACGACATTCCCCACCCCGTTGTGACCCTGTCCCTACAGATCCACCCAAACTGTCCCCCATCCTGCCCATGAATCTGCTCTTGCCAATGTCAGGCTGCTCCCCAAAGTCCTGAGCCCCATGTCCTGCCTCTCTGGTGGCTAGCCAGGGGCTAGGCCTCTGACCCTGTACCACCTCTCTCCTCACTGCTACCCCTTATGTAAGGACGTGTGTCCATGGCTGCTGAGGTCTTTTGGTGTCTTGTCTGGTGTGGGGTCAGCTCTTGCAGGGCCACTGTCCCTTTAGTGGCATAACTGCACCTTTCCCCGGGTGCCTTGCAGCAGCTCTGATCTGGGGTCGCCTCACCTTGGGTGCAGCGTGGGTTCTTCACCACCAGCAGAGGAGTCGGCATGCCGAGAGGGAGCTCAGGGAACCAGGCAGAGCCTGAGGGGTGGTAGGCCGAACGGTCCTCAAGGTTGGCATGAGTGAAACCTGGTGACTCACCACGTCGAGCTCCTCTCCCTTGACGTTTGGCAAGGGGTTATGACTGACCAAGCTCCTGAACATAGGCCTTGGGGGTGGGGGGACAGATGACACAATCAGCATGTTGGTGTCTGAGTGCTCCTCTCATAAGTGGGCTCACCCTGGGTACGTCTACTCCACTTTGGCACCAAGAGCCAGGGCACAGGCCACCTCTCGCTGCAGTACAGTGCTGTGGAGGTCCCTTGCCTGGGTCCGGCCCGCCTGCAGGAAGGATACTGCTGGCATCACCCCCTCTGCTCGCCAGGGTCAGGGGTGCACCTGCCCCATGAGCGACCCATCACAGGGAGGGGCCTGAGTGCTGGTGGCTCCCTTCCTGCCCTCGTCTCAGGGTCCCCTGGTGGTAAGCATGGCTGACCAGGGTGACCTCCCTTGTTCCACATGGCTGACACCACTGTGTCCCCTTAGCCCTAGCTGGCCCAACTCTACTGCCCCTCGGACAATGAGAAGGAGTGGGCCCTCAAGGTAGTGTAGGTGGCAGCCCTGGCGTCGCCGCTTTTGAGCTATGTGATCCCGGGCAAGTCCTTTAACTTCCCTGAGCCTCACTCTGCTCATCTCTTACATGGTTCTAGAATAAAGCCAGTTGGGCTCAAAGCCCTCAGGCCTCACTGACCAGTGAGTGGGGCAGTCAGGCCTGTTGGGGTCTCCTGGCTCAACCTTTGGGGCCCAGGGGCCACCTTTGTATTGGAGCCAGTGGTGTGTGGCTTAGGGGGACTAGGGGTGTGGCCCCACCAGGGGAAGAGCAAGCAGAAAGGTAGCTGACACATTTTCCCCAGGGACCCTGGGCCAAGCCTGGCCACCCGTATCAGGTCCCTAGTTCCGCTCCAGAGCTTGCTGTCTTGTGTCCCAATCCCCTGTCCTCCCGTATCCTCCCCCCACGTCCACAGCCAGTGAACGCCTATCTTCCCTGAGTCTCACATCTTCTCTTTTTTTCCACAGAATTGGCTCCAAAGTCGAAAAAGAAGGGGCATCCCACACAGGAGCAGAAGAAGGTACATGGGCTTCTTTGGGTTCTTGGGTGTGACCCAGATGGGCTGCCCGTGCCTGACAAGAGCCTGTCTGTCTGTTTGCAGCACCACCGCCGCCACCACCAGATGCAGCAGGCCCCTGCTCCCGTGCCCCAGCAGCCCCCGCCACCATCCCAGCAGCCCCCGCCACCACCCCCAGCTCAACAGCAGCCGACAGCCCCGCCACCCGCGCCCACCCTGCCACAGCAGGCGGCCCCAGCACTCAAGGCCTCACCTCCACCCTTCATCGCCACTCCGGTGCCCGTGTTGGAGCCCCCACTCCCGGGCAGCGTCTTCGACCCCCTTGGCCACTTCACCCAGCCCATTCTGCACCTGCCGCCACCTGAGCTGCCACCCCACCTGCCCCCACCACCTGAGCACAGCACTCCGCCACACCTCAACCAGCACGCCGTGGTCTCCCCTCCAGGTGAGCCCCAATAGTGAGGAGGGCACCAACCATGAGTTCTGGGTGGTCAGCAGCAGGCCTAGTAGCTCCTCGGGGGTCACTGGTTACTGAATGAGGCTTCCCAGAATATGCTCCGTGCAAAGTGTGGTGCACACAGGTCTCAAGTCCTCTAGAAAGCCCCTGGTGTCATACAGAATTTGAGTTCTGAGTTCTTTTGCCAGGCCAGGCAGTGTTGGATGGGGAATGGCCCTTTTTCCCCCTGCAGCTACCAGTTGGGAGGAGACTTCTACACCCCAATAAAACAACTCCTGGGCAGGAAGAATGCATGCTTGGCCTCGAGATAGCATGCCTGTCGGGGGATGGGGAGGGTCACTGACTGAGCTGAGGAGTGAGTAAGAGGAGCTATGGGAGGAGAGTGGTAGTGGGGGGACTTGGTGTTTATAGTGAATTTTGTGGTCCGGTGGGGCTGGGGTAGGGGTGATTGTGGCTGGAGGGCAACTGATAGGAGGCCATTAGAGTCCTAACAGGTCAGGTAGGGGGGAGTTGGGGCCTCAAGGCCACTGTCTTCTTTCCCTTCAGCTTTGCACAATGCGCTGCCCCAGCAGCCCTCGCGCCCCAGCAACCGTGCCGCCGCCCTGCCCCCAAAGCCGGCCCGACCCCCAGCTGTGGCACCCACCCTGGCCCAGCCAGCCCTGCTTCCACAGCCACCCATGGCCCAGCCCCCCCAGGTGCTGCTGGAGGAGGAGGAGCCGTCTGCCCCGCCCCTCACCTCCATGCAGATGCAGTTGTACCTGCAGCAGCTGCAGAAAGTGCAGCCGCCTGCCCCACTACTCCCTTCTGTGAAGGTGCAGTCCCAGCCCCCGCCACCCCTGCCACCCCCACC